GCGTGCCGCCGCCATATTGTGTCGGATATCCGGCAATGAAGCATGCCAGATTTTTTTTCATTTATTCAAATACAAAAAATTATAGAATAATTGCTGATATCTCCATTAGGATATAATGATTTTTGGAGCACAAAATGACAAAATAATCGCCAATACTTTTCCAATATGGCGCAAATGTATGACGTCATATACTGTCCCATGTTTTGGAACGAATCACCAGTATAGCGTCGATTCATGACGTCATTTGCATTGGACAGTACACTGGGTTCTATTTTGGAACATACCCCTTGTGTAACGAGTTCATATGTTTTGACTGCTCTCTAGTACACTTCGGCGGCAATGCAACACAACTCAGCCTCAGGTACAGATCAGGTATAAGGTATGTGGGGCCAATGTTGCATCGCTGAAATGCTGTCGTAACAACCAAGGTACCGATCGATATCTTGCCTAGCCATGTCCCTTTTTAATACATATTATTATGGACACGGTATTTTGACTTGAAACAAGATATGATACATAATGTATGCAATGACACTGACGATGACCCGGTAGCGAAGTGGTTTAGTTGAGACGCTACAGTGCCAGGGTTCGAATACCGCAAGGAACAAGTGTTTTGAATAATTGTTCCGCGTCTGGATATTTGTCGATATGCAGTTTATGTATGTCAAACGCCTGTACGGTACAGAAGAAAATCTGAATCCAACACGAGAAATCCTAACTCGTAACAGGGACAACAGATTTTTTAAAATATCTTTTACAACACATAAGTTGCCTCATAGTTACTCGAGCAAACATATTGCCACCACTTTGATAACATTGGAATACCTAGTCTTTCGTTAATAATATATTGATATTGATAACACTGAATAAATGCTTTGGCGCGTATTTATGTTATTAGGCATTTATACTATATCACACTTTTATTGTTCGGTTTTTTTTCAATTATATTATTTTTACAATAGGTACATAGTAGGAAAAATATTTTATCTGTTATCTACTTTATCTTAAATTTTAGGAAACACTAACGGCCTTACTCATAAAAATTAATTTAAGAAATGCATAAAGATGCTCTCGCTCTCTCTCTCTCTCTCTCCCCATTTCTCTCACTCTCTCCCTATCTCCCCCTCTCCCCATCTCTCCCTATCTCTCGCTCTCTCTATTCTAAATTACAATAGAAATATACATTTAGTGATAACTAATACCTTATTTACGTAAGCGTTAAACAACGAATATAAGTAAAGCCGTTAGTGATTTCATTTACTACCTTATTACTGAGCATTAAATAAAACTACATTTACGGATTTTATACAATTGAATTAGCTTCTACATTACTGATTTAAAAACATGCTGACAGGTAATAAATTAAATAGGAATTGTAAGCACACGAAACGGCGTAAATTAAAATACTTGTTTTCGTGAACAACAATTCTGGTATTATCACGTCTTTTTTCATATTCTTACATTATAATCCAAGATTTTGAGCAATGTTGAAAATTTAAATCTCATCGTGAAATTAGTTTAAAATCATTACCTATATTCGACCCAAACAGACGTACACGAAAGCACAATTAATTAAAATGTGGTAGTAAAAAATAAGCCAAAATCTAACGCTATAAAATCCGGAAACTTAGTTTATTTAATTTATTTTACACAATTAAGATTGCCTCCCAAAAAATTATTAACTTTACCGTTCATCGTAAAGTAAACACGTTTAGGTGACGCATTAAAAATAAATTAAAAAAAAAAACAATTGTACTTAGAGTTATTATACACTAACGTGATAAGAATTTGTTGTGTTTATAACATAATATTTAAACGATACCTTCACAAATAAACTTAACAAATACTGAACAATATCTTTAACAATGGTGTTTATTTTATTGTATATTATGTATTATAAAAAATAAATCTAAAATCTTACAGGAAATAAATAAAAAAACTTCTAATATATCATTGATCGATATACTATTATTTATATATTTTCAATGTGATGCAAAATGCGACAAAATGCGAACAAAAACCGATCGGCGCGGAGGCAACCGAAAACTGATAATTGTAATTTTAAGTACTGCACTGTTTAACTACAGAGCGGTACACGAAAACGTTCCGGCACAGAATAAATAATAGTGGTTCCAGGCAAACCAGTATAATTCGTTATCACAATATGGGACAGCGCGACAATCTCGCCTTTGCTTCAGTAAACATCACAGAAAGGAAGAGAGGCATGTACATAGTAATGGTGGTTAATATAGCGCATAGCGCCATATTATAGCGCGCTATCTCTTCATAACGCATAGCGCGTGTTATGTAAGTAGTCGCCATGGCGCTATGACGCTATGACGCTTTGGCGCTATTCATATCAAGCGGCAGTTAGTTCTAGCAGCAGCGCTGTTGGGAGTAGACGTGTGACGCAAATTTAATCTAGCAGCACGCTATTCATCGCGCGCGAACTAATTTAGTGTTAGACGTTATTTAGTTAGTGTATACTATATATTTATAAGTGATCGAAGGACACAGTTGTCTGCTACAAAAGAAGCCTAACTAATGTTTTTAAATGTAAATAAATAGTTGATTTTTGTATATACATACAATAACTTTTAAATACACCTTTAATTGATTTATAATTTATATTAAGGTTAAAATAACGTTTACATCAATTATAATAAAAAATGATTAATTTTATTTTGTTTTAAAAAGTACACGCTTAAAAAATATTTTTAGGGTTATAGAAAGTCGTAAGCCTGAAAAGTATGAAAGAGCGTTCATTGATTTTTCTTTACCACTTAATTTTATTTTAATCTAAAATGCGACTTATTACGAAACAATATTCTTATAAAGCACGCGGTCTATCCAATGAACGACATGTAATGTAGCGTGCTCGGTGCTGCTGCTAAACTTAACGCTTCCTCCTACACACTTTTTTATAAATAGCGCGCTATAACATAGCGTATTTAATAGCGCGCTAGAAATTTCTAGTTTATAGTCTGTACCGTGCTATTGATTTATAGTCGTTTTGAACAACTTTAGTACATAGCAATGGAACGTATGTAGATCCTTACTTTACTGTAAATACGAGTAGGTACCTATAACAAAATTAAGCAAGTAATGGATTTGTGGCTATTTATTACTTCTGTATCAGAATATTTTATATTATAATAAAAAATATTGACAATTTGATAAAATGCTTTCATAATTTATAATAACAACATATTTGTTGAATAATTTGTTAAACAGATCTGCCATGGCCGCCATATTTAAATTTTCAATGACTCGGAACAACAATGAGGGCTCATATGTATTCTACTGATCACCAGATGTCGCTAGTTCCCACTGCGGTGGAGTTTTTTGTTACAACATAATATCACAATATTGAAAGGTTGCGTTTAAAATAAAAGTTTATCGGTTTCTAGAATATTATGTAAATAAACAAAACAATTCTTCAGTGGTTTGCTCTTTAATTTTATACACATTTATTGACTCTTTTTTCTTTAATTTTTTTATGGTTAGGCATATCCGTACTTTGATTTATTCATTTATAATCTAATTAATATAAAATATAACCAATATTACAGAAAGAAACATTTACCCTTACGTTTTCCTAACAAATAAACTTCCCGCAATGAAATCTGTCAAATGTTAATAAAGTAATGGATGCCCTCATTTAGTAATGGTGGAAACTATGAGCGAAACAATGAACGAAAGATATGAATATACTTGAAATTGAACTTGAAAAAGTACTAGAAATATAGTTTATATATTTAATATTGTACAAATTTTATTCATAAAATGCAAAGACTTGAGTGTATTCACTTGAAAGCATCAAAGTTTAAGTTTGCAAGTCTAACAAATAACATTACAGTTTATATAGGTAACTGAAGAAACAAGCTTTATTATAAAACATTGAATAATAATTTGTTAAATTTATGAGAACACTACACATTGAATAAAACTATTTATACGGATTTTATCGCGTTTAATTAACTTATTTTTCGGGGAGAGGAAGGGGGGTGGCAGAGATGTCTGACGTCCCAATATCATAGTTACCTCGACTACCTTCAGTTTTCGCATATTACCTTACAGTATCTTGCAGTCTTGCAGTGGTAAGCTTGGGTTTGGATTTAATTTTGTCAATTATAGGATTCCAAGCAGATAGCAACACCCATCCATCTTTTCTATTGAAATCAAGAGACTTCTTAATTTGTGAGATGTGAGCATGACGTAAAGCACCGACGCTCCGGGAAGTCTGCAGTCTGTGAATGTGTTGTTTAAGATCATCAACGAACGAACGACGAACGAAATTAAAAGAACATGGATTCCTACCAAGGGTGATTGATACGCGAGGCTATTGAAATTAAAACATTCTAATTTCAATTGAGAAAATGGATGGGTGCTGCCATTTGCTTGGGTTCTTATAACTAACAGAATTAAATCCAAACCCAAGCATACCACTGTAAGACTACAAGCTACTGTAAGCTCGTTCTGTGTAGATTGGATCAAAAATTAATATTCAAAAACTGGAGGTGCCTGGACTAACTATGATATTGGGACGTCAAACATATCAATCTCCTCGTGACCATGGGTGCTGTAAAGCGCCCCAAACGTTGGGAATTAAAAATAAGTTGATTATAAGCGATAAAATCCGTATAAATAAAAACATGGATTTAAAAAAGAAATAAGTCACGTGTTTTTCAACGCTGTTTCATAGGAATTTCTTTTGTACTTTTAACATTACTGACTTAACAAAATTTTATTTAATATCACCCGTGTGACGTTTTGTAAGGCACGACGAAATGATCAGTAAGGATGTAAAATCAGTAAAATACGGAGCTTACAATAAACATCCCACTCTTCATACAAAGATAACATTAATACAAACGTTCATACACATAATAAATAATTTAATATCTTAAATAAAACTTTATTCTTGTGACCATCACGAATACCTCATTTCCACATTCCCGAACACCATCACCAAAAGAATGCATAACAGGTATAGGTTTTCACCATCGCAAACTAAAACCCAATTTCTTCACGTGCACAAACGTTCTAAAAACGTGATCCCAAATCTTGCTGGTGATGCCATACGCTCAAAAAAAAAAACAAAAATTACGATTAATCGTTATAGTTATAACGGTTACGAAAGTTATAACGTTTCATTTGACGCCGAATATATTGGAAACTTGCCCAACTTCTTGGCACACACTCACACACACATCTTTCTTCTTTCCCTATTACCTCGTTTACAATATTCTCCTGCCACTAATAGAAATAGAAATAGAAACTTTTTTATTCATTGTAGATTTAAAAAATACTTATTGAAAGTCACTTTTTTAATTTACCACTGGTTCGCAAAAAAAAAACCTCTGTCCTGGGAAGAACCAGCAAGAAACCCGGCGGGACTATTTTTTTTTAATAATAGCTTACAATCATGTTTACAATCAACAACACAAGACAAATTAGAAATAGCTTGGTAGCGATCACCCTTCCCAGGGGTTATTATCATCTATAAATTCCTTAATATTATAATAACCCTTTTTATACAATATAATAATAACTATTACTCGTAACCGTGTAATGGCGTTGTAAGGATATCCACTACCCCATATTGTCGCGAGGGTGACGTAAACAGGCGACAGAGAGAAAATGAATCAGGAGATGAGCAGCAGCTTCTCTCTCATTACACATGACTCACAACTCAAAATAATAAAAAATCTACGGTTGCCACCCGCTTGGCAAGCGTAGCTACTATAGCAAAATCCCCCCATGAAGAATCTATGTAGGAGGCCTATGTTCCGCAGTGGACTTTTATAGGCGGTAATGTATGGATGGATGGACGACTGTTGCCGGCTCAGCTGTAAAAATATTCCAAAGTACTGCGGCAGAACAAAGGAACAATACGGAGCGTTGCTCTACTATACTTCAAAAATTCAAACCAAAATCACGTTCAACTTATTGTAATGAACAGACACACACATCTGCATTTAAAATCATTTGCAACCACCAACTATATTTTATAGAATAAGGGTGACAAACGTGCACACAGTCCACCTGGTGGTAAGTGGATGCTGTGACCCATAGACATCTACATTAACCCTCGAACAAGGATCAAAACGCAATCGCGTTGTCACCCCTGAGGACTAAGATGCAACGCCTCGTTTCCAGTAAAAAAGGGACTCCGGATCTCATACACACACCATACGAAACACAGCAGTATTTGGCTGCTATGTTACGTTGGTATTCTGTGAGAACCTGGTCATTCCCCGGTCGAGCCGACCCATTCATGCTATTACCATAATATAGCTGTAGCGTGGCTCTACCACGTACTCGTATATCATCTACATTCAAAATAATTGAGAGTTTTACGTGTTCTTAAATCATCCATTCATATTTATGCGATCAGAATTTTTACGTGCTCTTAAATCATCCATTCATTCGCCCAAAATCATGTTGTTCGTTACAAATGATTTTAGATGCATTTGTGTGCGTAAGTAATGTGAAAAAACAGTGGTAGAGCCACGCGGCAGCTTTGCTGTTGCACGTATGGGCCGGCTCAAACCGGGGTGGTACCACGACCTCACAGAATACCGGCGTGATGTGGAAGCTCTGCTTCCGCGATTCGTCTAGTGAGTGCAGGTGGCGGAGGCCCAAATCCCCACCCCCATCAACATGGTAGCGGAATTAAATAATGATAGACTACCCCAGGAGAGTACCAGCACCCCTGGAGAATCCCTCGCTGAGCATCCACGACCATGTTTCTCCACTTCTGAGCGTGGGTGCTCAGGCTGCCCCGCGTATTCTGGGGGGGGGGGGGGGGGCAAAATTCCGCTCAAGACTACAACTGCTCGGGGCAAACGGAGCAACAAGACCAAGGCGACCCCTGCCAGGCTGTCCGTGAATTTCTGCAATATCAGGGGACTTCACTCTAACCTACACGATGTCCACTACCATCTCGAGACGGCGAGGCCGGCTCTGCTCTTCCTGACCGAGATGCAGGTGTCCTCTCCGGCTGATGTCTCGTATCTCTCCTGCCCGGGGTACAAACTGGAACACTCCTTTGTGCCTCGGGCTGGAGTTTGCGTTTACGTCAGAGAGGACATCTGTTCTCGACGCCTCGGCAGACTTGAAGGTTCGGACCTGTCCATCCTTTGGCTACGCGTAGACAGCGACGACCATCCGCGCGTCTTCGGGTGTCTCTATAGGTCCCATAGCGGTAATGCCGAAACAGATCGACTCTTCGACCACGTCCGAATGGCTACAGATTCGACCAGATCCGCAGAGATCGTGATCCTCGGTGACTTTAACGCCCATCACGCCGAATGGCTTGGTTCACGTTTAACCGATCATGTGGGGAGATCTGTTCATGATTTTGCCTTGGCATATGGTCTGACACAACTGGTTACTCGCCTGGATTCCAGATGTCGTCAGAGATCATGCACCTTCCCTGATGGACCTTCTGCTGACCTCTCACCCGGACGGATATCAGATTTCCGTCGAAGCCCCTTTAGGCTCCTCGGACCATTGTCTTGTCCGAGATGTGGACCCACTCACGCTGAAATCGCAGTTGCATTCTGCAGGCTGCCGCCGTGTTTGGCACTATAGGTCAGCCGATTGGGATGGGATGCGGTCTTTCTTTGCATCCTACCCTTGGGGGCGGGTTTGCTTCTCGCCGGACGATCCCAACGTTGTTGCGGATTCTGTCGCTGATGTGGTACTTCAGGGTATGGAACTTTTTATTCCTTCCTCTGTGGTGCCCATTGGAGGCAAATCTCAGCCATGGTTTGGTCGCTCCTGTAAAATAGCATCATGCTATATGAGCAGGAGACTCTGCTACCGAGCCTGGGCTGACGCATCAGCGTCCCGGGATGTAAACACCAGCGCTATAAAAAAGAAGTATAATTCCGCCTCTAGGTCCTTCAAAAGAGTCATTGCTAAGGCAAAGTCAGATCACATAGGCCAAATTGGCGAGAAACTAGTTCGCCTTCCTTCTGGAACCCGTGCATTCTGGTCTCTCGCCAAGGCTGTCCAGGCGAATTTCTGTCAGCCATCTCTTCCATCTCTGCACAGGGAGGACGACTCACTGGCCCATACCGCAAAGGAGAAAGCCGATCTTCTAGGCTCTTTCTTTGTGTTCAACTCGACTCTCGATGACGGGGTGAGTCCGCCGCCGACCATCCCGCGGTGTGAGTGCTCCATGCCGGAAGTGCAGTTCACACAGCGCTCGGTTCGCAAAGCACTCCTCTCCCTGGACATCCACAAGTCGAGTGGGCCTGACGGAATCCCCCCAATTGTGCTGAGTACGTGTGCTCCAGAGTTGGCACCGGTTTTAACGCGTCTTTTCCGGTACTGCTACTCCCTAGGCGTAGTTTTAAAATCATGGAAGACGGCTTTCGTCCACCCGATCCCTAAAAAAGGCGACCGCTCAGACCTGTCCAACTACCGACCTATCGCCATCACCTCCTTGTTCTCCAAAACAATGGAGTCCATTGTAAACTGCCAGCTCATGAGGTACCTTGAGGAACACCAGCTGATAAGTGACGATACGGTTTTCGCCGTGGTCGGTCAGCTGGTGATCTTCTGGTCTACCTGACTCATAGATGGGCAGAGGCAGTAGAGTCCAAGGGGGAGGCATTGGCCGTTAGTTTGGACATTGCGAAGGCCTTCGATCGGGTTTGGCACAAAGCGCTTCTTTCGAAGCTCCCTTTCTATGGGCTTCCCGAGAAATTGTGCAATTGGATCACCAGCTTTCTTGCAGATCGGAGCATCAAGGTCGTTGTAGACGGTGCAAGCTCCGATTGCAAGCCTATTAATGCTGATGTTCCACAAGGCTGCGTGCTATCGCCAACACTGTTTCTTCTGCATATCAATGGTATGTTGCAAACGCGTAACATTCATTGCTATGCAGATGACAGCACTGGTGATGCTCTTTACACCGGCCGAGCCAATATTTCTCGGGAAAACGTCTCCGAGTGCCGGGACAAACTTGTATCTGAAGTCGAGTCTTTGTTGAACAGAATCTCGGATTGGGGGCGACTAAATCTAGTAAAGTTTAACCCGCAAAAGACACAAGTTCGCGCGTTAACCGCTAAAAAGAACCCCTTTGTCGTATCTCCTCAGTTTCAAGGCACTCCCCTTGTTGCCTCAGCCAGTATCGGAATCCTCGGCGTTGACATATCGGGTGACGTGCAGTTTCGTGGTCACTTGGAAGAGAAGGCAAATGCCTCTAAAAAACTTGGCGTGCTAGCAGAGCAGGACAGTATTTATGGTCTTTGGGCCCGCACATGGAATACTGTTCCCATCTTTGGGATGGGGCTCCCCAGTACCAGCCCCTTCCACTTGACCGCATCCAGCGCAGAGCGGCTCGAATCGTCGACGACCGAGTGCTTTCCGATCGGCTCGATTCACTGGCACTGCGAAGAGATGTTGCATCTCTTTGCATTTTATTACGCATATACCATGGAGAGTGCTCTGAGGAACTGTTCGGATTAATTCCAGCCGCCAAATTTCGTGAACGCACTACGCGGCAAACGTCCCGATACCATCCACACCATCTGGATGCTTGGCGGTCCACCACAGTACGTTTCAAATGGAGTTTTCTTCCGCGTGCAACCTCTCTGTGGAATAGTTTACCACCGGCGATTTTTCCGGACCGATACGACCTGGGGACCTTCAAGAAAAAGAGCCTACTCCTTTCTAAAGGGCCGGCAACGCACCTGCAATTCCCCTGGTGTTGCGGTTGATCATGGGCGGCGGTAGTCACTTAACATCAGGTGAGCCGCATGCTCGTTTGCCCCGTCTTCTATAAAAAAAAGTAAGAGTTTCGGCGAAATGTACGCAGCGCAGGATTTGCCTAATTAAAGTAATATAATGAGTAACCATTGTGCTTGGCTACTGTATTAGCAATTGCAGTGCAACAGTATGTCTCCAGTCTATTACATTTGGTACATATAAGTACGAGATGGTTATACCGCTCAATCAGATACTATAAGACCTCTTGCTGTCGCGGATGAGACAAGGTGAGATGATAATTGATTCTCTTATACCGCCACAACACTGCGATCGTCAAAAATATCGTCTTAAATATAAAGAAACACAATTTAAAAATAGTTAATTTTCTACGTTTTTTTTGTTATTTAAATGTTAAGTTTTTTATTTAAAACAAATTTAAAAAAAGAAAAAAACAATTTTAAAATGTAGATAGGACTGCATCTCACAATAATGTAAGTCACAGAGTATTTAACATTCTCACCTTTGTCGTGATTTAAGAAATGATGATTCGAGTGATAACGCTTCATCGCATACAGGTAGGTACCGTCCCGCGGAGAGCCATGATGCACGTAGAAATGAATCATGTCATAGATGAGGTACCCTGCAGAAGCAGTAATTTAATCAATTATATTAGCCTATATGAACTCTAAGAAAATAGACTGAGTTAATTTGCCAATATAGGCAGTACAGTGTCACCAAATGATCTGTTCAGGCGGACAAAATGGGAACAAAGGCTAAGAAAAGATGGGATTCCCAATATTTTAATCACATAGCTCAATATGGATATTCTTATGAATTGTTTAGCTTTTTTCCATTATTTCCATTGATAGTTAGTAATTAATAATAATTAGTAGTATAAATTGCATATATATTAAGCAGTATTTTAGGATCAATTTTTAACTTTCATAATTTATTACTGATATCTGCAACAATTACTAATTTACTATTATTTCTAAAGTCTGCTGATTATATATTATGATATTGCACAGTTTGAGCCTACGAGTTTTAAAGAATGAATGTAATGCATTTAAGTCTGCAATATTATATTGTGTTAACCCTGGAAGCATATTTTTCACTGCTCCATGTTCTGAAACATTGTTTGCTTTAATGTCTTTTTATACTACGTATAAATGCACTGAAAGTGAGTCACTGAGATTTTTAAATATTGATATGACTAGTGCACTACCTGCTAGTTTCTCCATGATCACTCGATCAAATGGTTTGGTCAACCTGGGTTTCATATTTTATACAAGTTTTAAAAATGTGAATGAGAGAACTTTGCCTGAAATTGTTTACAAATAGAAGGTTCCATTTTATAAATGATATTTCGCTGTAAGCTATTATTTATTATATAATGTGCGGAGAGTGCTTCGTTTGATTTCATTGTGAAAAGTGTGTTTTGTTCGATTTCATTGTGAAAAGTACAAAAAAATATGTATATGTATTTTTTCCTTGGTAAATTTCTTTGGAGGCAGTAGTAAGCTCTCCACTGGCAACTCTGTCAACTAAACAGTAAAGTTAGTGGCAATGTACGTGTGGTGTGCAAGAGGTACGCGACCTTGCGTTGGTTGTCACGTGCAAAAAAAATGGTAAAAATTAAAGAATTGGTAATAAAAAAGTAATTTAAAATATGAGGCTATCTGGTAACATGTAAGAGGGTTTCGTCGAAAACATCCCCGTCAGCGAACTGCTGCTTTTGTAATCTGCCTTCATCTTTTTATTTAGTAACCTATCATTGGTCCTTATAAGTAAAAAGTTGGCCGTCACAGAACGCCCGGTAGATGTAAAATTATAGTTGATGGTAGAATGTATAATTATCGAAAACCAATTAAGAGATATGGAGTAAAATAAATAAATATAATAAGATATACAAAGTGTGTGCGTATATAAGCGGTGAACGTATCAAGTATACTATAGTTGAATCTTTGATTATATACCCGATAATCAAAGAGTTGAATCTATAAACACACGCACACGCAGTACGCACACAGAAGCAACGAAGTGTAGTAGTATGACGCGTAGACAGAGACTTCAAGGCACGCACGCCTCAAGTCGAAAGCGTTGGAGTATAGAGGGCATGACGTCATAAGACAGCGTCATGCCGTTTGTCGTCACAGCATAAGAGTCAGTTTTACTGCCAAGGTGTGCCAATGGATGTTTCACATCAAAAATCATGTTTGCATCTTTTCTGAAAATGACTTGTATGAACTGCAGTGAGAGATTCCACGCTCACTCATAACTATACCTATGTACCTGCATATCCATAGATACCTGGTGTAAGCAGATCATGAATATGCAACGGTAAGAGAATTTCGGAGAAAACGGACCCCTGGGGTATTCTGGCGTTGAGCTTCATTGGCTCGGACGAGCAACCCACGACGATGATAGAAGAGACCTATCACTCGACAAGTGCTTCACCCAGTTGATCAGACGAGAAGATAAGCCGTATCCTGGAAGCTTGTCCACAAATCTAGCGTGCTAAACCATATCAAAGGCCTTCGATACATTTATGAGTGGCATACGCTAGAAGGTCCCCTGTTGACTAATCCGGCAAAACCCGTACTGGTCGCCAAGGAGGTCATTCTGTTATAAGTACCCATAAGTTATGTGCGTTTTTGAAATCGGTATTCAAAAATATAAAAATAACTTTTTTTCAGAAAACTCAACCATTAAAAATTAAAATTTTGATTTAAAAAAAATTATTTGCAAATTGTATGTGGTTTTACTGCCTCTGCATTATCCGGGGAGTAAGGTGATTGTCAAAGACCCCGCTTTAGCGATGCTCGTGTCAGTTAGAAGTAATAAAGCCACATACAATTTCTAAATAAAAATTTAAAAATTAAAATTAAAAGTAAAATTTTTAATGGTCGAGTTCTCTGCAAAAAAAATTCTATACTTCAGTACTTCGCTAACGCACTTATGTGCATCGTATGGTAATTGATATTAATATATTGGTAATTGATATTAAAGCTGGCAGGTACGGCTGTCTTTTTTTGGTATAGATTGCACATTGGTAAGCTTCCAAGATGTACACTACACTTTCCATTCCTTTCATACCGAAATCAGCAAAGTTGCACAGCTGCTACGCAACATAAATATCAAAAACCTTTTAGGTACAAAATGGCTCATATATTAAATAATAGAAGGCCTACTATCAACTAATTAGAGAGACAGGCCGACATTCGGCGATAACAAGGGGAAGATAAAAAATTAAAAACAAAAAGAACTCAATTACATGTTCCGAAACTAAACTGCCTTATCGTATAGGATATGAAGGACAATGCAAACAGTAACAGATAGTATATGTTTATACGTGGTAGAGCCATGCTGCAGTTATATTAGTAGTATAGTTGTAGCACGAATGGGTCGGCTCGACCGGGGAAAGACCACGCTCTCACAGAATACCAGCGTGAAATAGTAGCTTAATGCTGCTGTATTTCGTATGGTGAGTGTAGAGAACCGGAGACCCTTTTTACTGGAAACGAGGCATTCCATCTCAGTCCTCACGAGTGACAACGCATCTGCATTTTGATTTTTAATGGATAAGGATAGATGTAGATGTCTATGGGCCGCAGCAACCACTTACCATCAGGTGGACTGTGTGCTCGTTTGTCACCCTATTCAATAAAAAAAAAATATGTTTAATAAGTGCTATTTTTTATCTAAAGCACACAAATATTCAAAAAGTATACGACATGTTTTGTAGCCGATCACGTTAGAGAATGCCGGCTTATAATCGAATATAACTTGATTTTTTTTAACAAGTATAAAAACACTGTTAAAAATCAGACTGTGATTTGTAATTGCGGCGTAAAAATATCCACTACCCTATAGCTTCCCGTGGGTGTCGTAGGAGGCGCCAGAGGGAGACAGGAGATGGGCAGCAGCTTATTTATGACAACACATCTGTACAATTAAATAAAATTGAATAAAGATATTGATTGATTTGCAACCTTCCGCTAACTAAATACAATGATGTGTCTTACCTGAATTGAAGAGCACCTCCCGCCCTCCCTCAATTGCGTGCATTAATTCCGTCACCACTACGGAGTTTCAGGTTAAGCTACTTAGCGGTCAGCCGCCGTAGAGTCTACATCACCTGAGGATGATTCGTGTAGAGGCGAAACACGTGTCGTATTATCGTCGATGGTGTGTCTTTCCGGAAGTAGTGGTGTTAGAAGTAGTGGTACCGGGAGTAGTGGTGCTGGGACTAGTGGTGACGGAATTAGTGCACGCAATTGAGGGGGGGCGGGAGGTGCTCTTCAATCCAGGTAAGACACATTATTGTATTTAGTTAGCGGAAGATTGCAAATTAATCAATATCTTTATTATAATGGATTTCCCAACTGAATTGTCTGTTTGTAATGTCAATGTAACAGCTTTTTACTAAATGGATTTGAAAGTGTAGACGGTACCTACTTATAACAAAAACACAATTTGTAGAATTTTTGTTTGTCAGTCTGTTTCGGCTAATTTCCGAAATGGCAGGACCGATTTTGACGGAACTGTCACTGGCAGATAGCTGATGTTATAAGGACAGATCTATATCTTACTTGTCATCCTAACTATTAAAACACTCGGGTATAAATAACCTCGCTAATCCGTTAGTTTAACCTCAATGTCGTTAGATGGCGTTCACTTGAGTGTCTAAATGTGAGCGTCATTCGAGGTCACTTGGCTCTTGTAGTCCCATTTTAATGGGACTACATATGACTCTTGGCTAATTTATTACTGAAACTAATCTTGGGCAGATAACATAAATGTTAGAATGAATTAGGTACCATTATCTATCACGAAAGCACGGTAATTTTATCTGTACAGTATTCCAACTTCATACAAACGGACGAAGCGAGAGCTATGCCTACGCGCCTCGATCTCGGCATGCGCTCGGCATGCAGACAGTCGTGACTGTGCCGCAGTGATGATTTTGTGGAATATATAAAAAAATGGAGGAAATATATAATAAATAGTTGAATAGAAATAAACAAATAATAAATCCGAACTTCATTTAAACCAAACATATAAATTGTAAAGTAGCTGCAGGTATATATCTATAACCAAGTAAAAGATATTCCTTTTCTCCACCTTGTCCATGTTTCCCAAAACAATTTTTAATTAAGCTTTATATTAGAATGCGGATTTTTTATACTTAAAAATTTAATAATAAAGCATTTCGTACGTCTCAGCCGAGGCGCAAATATTTTTCGGTCGCAAATTTATAAGACGATTTGTTATTCAAACATAAACATGGTTTTTTAATCTACCCATCAAAAAACGACACGCATTTTTATTGAACACTTCCTATTCAATTCACAAAGTATCTATTATATTTGTTTATATAAAAAAAGTATATTTACAATCATAAAAATAAATAGAAACACAAAGTAGCCAAATGTAAAAATGCTGGAGGCAGCCCTATCGCATGTTTACGTACCGCACGGCTGTAGGCATTTATTTCAAAGATACGGCCGAGTTACAATACTGTATAGATAATATTACCGTGACGAAAGTGATGCTCGATTCCGTTTGTTAACACATTTATCATTCACCACCCATCACGAAACCACAGATATCAGGTAGATCAATAAGTCTTCGGAATAG